AGAGAAGCTGTAGAAATATTTAATATAATATTTTATACATACACTGAAAAAAAAATATATTCAAGTTTAATAAATATTTGATTGAATACTGCCAACTAAATATTTATTAAATATAAAGATATATATATTTGATATAAGAAATATTAATTTGATTTATTATAACAATCTTTTTTTTTTTATTGAAAAAATATTTACTTAGTAAGTAAATGTTTAGTTGGCAGTATTGAACTAAATATTCATTAAAATTAACTATATTTTTTTCTCAGTGTATACATACTTCATCACAAGTTTTTGTTGCAGTAAACAAATATGTTGTTATCGATTTTAATTTTTCTAGCTATTTTTTATCTAAATACTTCCTATAGCATCTTTTAAGTATATATTCTAGGCGTAAAGCATGTTTTTAAATAATTTAAAAGTGTCATATATTTAGTGCTAGGTTTTATTCTTAGGTACCTTATTCTTTGGTCTGTTTTCTGTTCCTGCACTAGACTGTTCTAGAACTCTCTTTCTCGCTTTAAACAAATATCAAACAAATATCTGTCTCATTTTAAGTTCCAAAAATGTATACTAGTTCAGCCACAGAAAACAGAGCTCTTATTTTTTGTGGCGTGTTTCCAATAAAGAACGCTTTTTGCATTAAAAATAACAGCAGTCAATCAGAAATCATTTTTGCCATTTCACCGAGGCTGCTCCATTATTCTGCATCAATACGAAGGCACAAATCGTACGTGGGCCGCGTGTGGGCGAGTTTACACTTGCGCCCAATTGTCTTGATAAATGCGCGATTACATCGTGTCATGTTTCGCACGCGTATTTCCAAACAAAGAAAAATTCTCATAATAACAAAATTTATTATGTTCATTAATCGCCGAAGCGATGGCCGAGGAATTAGGTCACACCGATTCGTATGCATTTGCATTCTTGTAAAACTGCAAATTGGCAGGCGATAGCAGACGAGTTTCAAATCTACATCGGGATCTATCGTATTCTCGCGCGAATAACCAAGTTTATTGTTGATCTGACAGGATGACGCGAGAAGCAGAAACGCGAGAATTAACGAGAAATTAACGTGTACATTTTCCTCGCGGGGATATATTGATGTGTCTGTTGCACGTGATTACACTGTTAGTAACATGTCATCGCAGATTCCACGTCAATCGTCATTTCGCGATGGAGCAAACGAAGGACAGTTCATGTCGAGAAAGAAAATATTCGCGAGGTTGCGTCGCTAAAATTACATTTACCCGCCGGACAAAGGACGCGCCAATGACTGTCGTGACGCCTCTTCCCTGCGACAGTTTAATTGAAAGCTTCACACGTGCCGTTTTGCGTGCAAAGCGCGCATGTTTTTATACACAGCAACCTCTCTCGACAGAGACGAGAGTGTCTTTTAGCATTTAATAAATATAACGTCAGGCAGAGGTGGGTTTGATACACATTCTGGAAATTTGATACGTATAAATGCGTAGGTAGAATATATATCAAACTTGTATGATACCTTTAACATAACCGTTTTTTTAATTTCTAATTTATTAATCTTATTAACTAAAAAAACAATGTTTTTAGATTTTTGAAGTATACTGCTGATTGGGAATAACTTCAAAAGTCCTTTTCAGTTTTATTAAAAATGTAGTTTGTAATTAAAAAACGAAAAGAAAATAATATTGAAAATATAAGTGCAGCATATACATGAATTTAGTATACAATAATATTGGTAATTCGTTGTAATTTTTGCTCTTATCGCGATGGATTTAATTTGAATACATGTATAATCTGGTTATGCCATAATTTTCTAATTAATTTTCAATTACATATAATTATATATTGTCGTATTTCAAATTGTTGATATCGCAGTAAAAATGTAAATTTGTTATGCCAGTCTAAAACATCTAAATAAGATCATCAGATTAAAAAATAAGATTATGTGATAATATATATATGTATGAAAGTAAAGAGAATCATACTTCAGTATCATACGTAGAATATCTATGTATGATACACAGCATATGATACATTTCCAATCCTGACGTCAGGTAATTAATATTGCGTCAGCTGCAACGCTTTGTGACACGAGTTCTGCAGATTTCTCTCTGAATAATCTATCTTCCAATACATTCATTTTATTTTAATTTTAATAGTTTTAATTTCAATAGTTTTAATTTTGTTTTATTTGCATTTTTATTTATCTTTTGAACTTCATGTCGAAAGCTTGTAAATAAACTAAAATGAACAGAGAAAAATTTCGAATATGTCTTCGTGTTGTACGCAAATATTTGCCAATCGAATTTCAATGCTGTAAAAATATTAGTCTACGAATACATATACGCGTTTAACTGTATCCATTTCTGTTTCCATTTCAAAACCCGATTTTAGAAAAATTATATTAGAGATGAATATACCTACATAAAATCCGATAGGTGTCTACATCGATCATATTCCTGTAGTTTGTCGAATTATTGATATATAATTATGAAATAATAATTATGAGAAAATTTTTATAGGGCTTCTAAAAAAATCGATTAAGAGTGCGTGCTTCGTTAAAAACGAATTTGCAATAGCATTTTTAAGTCTAATTACGTCGTAACGTAAAATGCAAAGTTTAATATCGATTTCAGGAGAAATTCACTAATTAAAGCGCACAGAGCACGCTGTAATATTCGTATTGGAAGCTTAATTCTAATCCCAAGGATGTAGCAAGTCCGATAGGCTGTCCCGACGCGACTCGCGTATGCAGAGCACGTATAATGGAATACCCGACGGGGTTTCGATCGGGAGCCAATTACCAGCGCAATCGAACGGGCGCGGCACGGTGGCCCGGCAACCCAGTAAACTTAACCGCAGAATTTAAACGACCGCGGCCGCGGGCGCGTATTGCGTTTAAGGTGAATCCATGAAGCTGTCTACTTCGAAATTGCATCCGTCGTTTCATTCGAATGAGACTAGGAAGTATAGGCCATCACGGGCGACTTTCCATCGAGATCTCGTTTTACGAGATTTATCTGCACGGACGAGTCATGTACTTGTACTTGTAGAAATAACGTGAGAAAAAATTCTATTATTGGTACTTACCCCTCCGCCGTGTTGTGTGCCAGGAAGGATTTGGGCAGCGACAAGGATCGCTGATGAGGGTCCAGGACGATGTCGCTCGTGAGCGAATCTTCACCCCGAGTTGGCGCGCTACCAGGTCTGGATAGTGTACCGTCCTTCGGTGGTTCCATCAATGTCTTAAGTGAACCGATCACAGCATCTTCTATTGGCGTGGATGCACCGGAGCTCTTTGCATTCCGCGGACTCTTCGTCACCGTGCGATCCGACGTGGTAATCCAAATATCGCTGCTCGAAGACGACGAGGTGGTCGTCGACGAAGAGATAATCGGGCCGCCGCTTGGCGATCTATTGACATTCATTCCTTGAACAGGTGACACTCTTCTATCCTTGCTGTCGGTGCTTTCGAAGGATGCCGGGAAATCGGGCTTCCGGTACACTCGGTGATGCATTTGATCTCTCTTCTCCGTTCCTGAGCCTACTTTATTTACAGAAAACTCTATATGAATGAGATCTAAATTATTCCACTTATCCCATATAGCACAGATCGTTCTAATATTACGATATTTCAGCAATATTACAATAATGTTGCTGTAAGCTTCTGTGCTGTATGAGATTATTAGATTAAAATTTTTCTAAAAAAAAAAGTAAAACACTGCCTATTAATTTAAAATAAGTATTTGTTTCTACTTAGGACATTTAATTTAATAGGGTAAATTTTTTGATAATTAAGCTATTACGGACCATTCCCGTTAGATCCCTCTAACGGCGACCATCTATTTGCCTGCTTGAGCACTTTGGGCCTCTCCTGATATTTGCCCTGCTGGCTGTTTCTGCTCTTCCTTAAGTTATCTCTCTCGCGAAGCTCCCGATCGTCCATTCGCTCGAGAGAGGCTGGTGAAGAGCTCGCACTTCCGCGATGACTACCAGCATCGGTGGAGAGTCTTTGATGTGCTGGATAACTTTGCGACAACTTCATGAAAACTGGTGGTGGCGCCTGATTTGGCGAATACAAGGTTTCTCTTTGTGAGCAATGAGGCCAAAAGTCGCACGTGCTGCTGTTACAACGCAGTTTTGTATCTGGACTGATACAAAAGTCTTGATTGGTGGATGGCGCATTCGCGTTTGGTGTTGTAGCACCTCTCTGCAGCGTCCGTGGCCGCCTTGATTGTTGCTGTTGTTGCTGTTGTTGTTGCTGTTGTTGCGATTGCGACTGCTGTGGCTGTTGCTGTTGTTGAGATTGTGAAGAATTCGATACTTTCGAAGATTGCTGTTGTTGCTGCTTGGAGGATATGATGTAAACGTCATATGTATTGTTGCCTCGTCTCTGCTCTTGGCTCTCATCGCGACGTTCATAGCGGTTTGACATCATATTTCTAGGCACGACGCGGCTACGCGTGCCATACAGATATTCAGTCACCATCTCCGTTTCGCGGAAAAGATTCTCATTTATGGTATCGTCAGTGGATTGAGCTTTTCCTAAAGAATTTGGGAAAAATCAGATAAGAGAATAAATTCGATTTTGATCAATTTTGATCGTTGACAATCGTATATTTTCTTTAAAAATTCTTTTTTCGGTTTTTTGTCCGCTAAATTTAATATAAGAAATATTCGATTTTGAATCTACTATGTAATTTTTCTATTTCATAAGATTTTCTATTTTCTTTACATTCTCTTCGTGTTTTACAAAACTTTTCATTGCACATTGGTTTTTTTATAAAATGTATAAAAAAATGAATAGCTAGAAATTTTATGCAAATATTTTTTAATCTAAAATTTAAAATAAATTTTGCAGAAGTAAAAATAATTTATTATAAGGATATAAAAATTGTCTGCATGTATAATTATTACCTTCCTTTCACGAGAATATGAAGTTTATAAAAGATACGTTTGAGAACATTTATTCTTCGCATCATAAAATATTCATAGATATACGTTTGTAATTAGAATTAAATTATCTTAGATATAAATCATCCAAGGAAGAGTACTCACTGTTCTGAAGAACATGGCGCTTGGACCTATCACTTCCTCGATCATTCACAATTTTCACAACAACTCTGTGTGCTTCGTTTGACTCTCGGGAGTGTTCTCTCTGCGGGCCCGTCGTTCCTGGCGACCTTTTCTCTGGTAATTGGAGACTCCTGGATCTTCTAACTCGGGATTGATGAGAATCGGGCGATACCTGATTGGTTCTAGCGCTTTGATGCTGTCGCGAGGGATTGCCGCGTCTGAATGGATTAGGCGTAGGTGACCGCCCTTGTCGTCCTTCGCTGCTGGACGAGGAAGACGATGAAGAAGGTGAATTAAACATCTGTTTTCCTGACTCGGAGGATCCGGGCGATCTTCTGAGCCCCTGTTGGCTTCTATGAATTCTCCTAGATGTAACACTTAGGTGTTTCATTTTCGCATAATACTGTGAAATGTTTTGCGATGCAATACTAAATTAATTTATTTTTTAATTCAAAAGTAATTCTAGTTAACTAATTTTTTTTCCATCATCTAGGATATTTTTATATCAATTAAATCAATATTAGTAATATTATGTATGTATACATATTATGTATTATTATTTTTCAATTTGTTATAGTATTTGTGGATTAAATTCATATCTATAATGTTTATTGATATTCATATTTATTTATTGATATTCTATAAACAATTTTCTAAAAAAAAAAGTAAATAGAAAGTAAATAAATATTAAACATAAATAGTTTATTACGACATATATATCTAAAAAAATGAAAATTTTTAAATTAACATAACGTTTTTTTATTTCGAATTCACATTTAAAGCATTATTAAGAGAAAATAGTTATTTAAAAAATAAATAAATATAAATAAAAAAAAGTTATATACCTATATAAAAAAATTTTACACTTATTCATATTTTTTTTCGCCACTGAGATATAAAAATATCTCAGGACTATTCCCGAGTTAATACGTATATATATGGAATGTTAATTTAAAAAGATTGAAATTGAATATAAAAATAAATGTCCAAAATGTTTGTACATTATACAAATTAAAAAACTATTTAATGTTTTATTAATGTAGATTAACTTTAATCTTTGTTTAATTCACTCTTTACCTTAATCTAATTTTTGGAAGAGGAAAAAAATTAAAAGTAAGTTAAACCGAGATTAAAATTAATCTATGTTAGAAATGGATATAAATAAAATACTTTACAATTTTTTTTCTGTTGAATTTCTTATATGAGAACTTCATAAGTTTTCATATACGTATGCATACCCTTGCCTGTTGGGCGATATTCGTTCGCCGTTGGCGCGAATTGATTCTGTGGACGAATTCAAGGCAAGAGCTGATGACGACACCAAACTGAGATTTAAGGATGAACTAGGATTATCATCTTCATCACCATCTTCATATCTAGTATCGAAAGATCAATATTTTCAATGTATTTCTAAGTTTTTTTTAATACTGTTAACATTAACATTTCATGATATAGTGTTTATTATAATATATCTATAAATTATGTGAAATATAGATTATAGAGAGAGACTGTCAATTAATGGAGAACATCAATGTTTAGATTTATTTAATTCTGCTGTTATCAGTTCTACTTTTCCAATTTATAATCGAGACTGAACTAATACATTTAAAAAATCGAATTTGCCGACAGAATTTGCCGAATTTGTCGTTCATTGTAATCAAAAAGCTTTTTTTTACATACCCTTCCACTGAAGAATCTGTATTTTCTGCCAAACTAGGCATAATAGGTTTTGTGACACAACTGTCAAGACTTCGGAATCCCATCGACGATGATGACGAGCTGGACGATTCGAGATATCTTTGCACGAATTGCGATCTTCTGGAGGATGATTGATCCTCCAGGGACTTGGCTTGCGCCATACGATACTGTTGCTGTTGTTGTTGTTGTTGTTGCTGCTGATTGGCATTTTGTCTTTTTGACCTGGAGGACACTAAACCGGAATTCTTCCTGGACGGAAGGGAGCTCCAGTTGACTTGGTGAGGTGGCGGCGATGGTGGCGGACTGATAATGTCGCTATCGACGATGGCATTCGATCGCGGTAGAAAAGGGGCCTTGCTGCCATAATTGCCGCGCACGGCGGAGGAAGACGAATGTCTAGAAGATTTTCTGCCGGCAACAGCGTCTTGGAACGCCGGTGGCGGCGATATAATCGGCGTAATCGATGGTGGAGAGAAGGATTCCGGGATGCTGTGCGGCGACGTACAGGCACTGGTAGTGATGGAGTCGAAATCCTGGCTGTGCAGCGCGAGAAAATCAGGTCGCTGTGAGTCTAATCCTCTGGTGAAGTCTTGCGGACACTTGCCCGGCTCGCTGTTGCAATGATAGTCCGCTAATTTGACCGCCGCTCGTCGTGACAACGGTAAAGTACCAGTGGCCGCGTTTACCAAGTTGCTCTCATAGTTTGCACGACGATTTTCGTCGAGAGACCGCTGCTGTACCTGCACCCAGCCGGAACGGCCCAAGTAAACGCCATCAACCTCGCGATCGCACCATCGCACAGGCGAGAGCTCGCGACTGCAATTGCCGCTGATAAACAGCTCGCCGGAAGTGCCGCTGTTGCCCGACAAGAAGGAGTTTATGGCATCACGTCGACGAGAACTGGCGGAGACCTGCAGAAGGGAGAATCCTCGCTAATTGACACCCTAAGTGTCATCCCAATCTCCTAGCATCATTTCATTAATTTGTATTTGAACAACGCTATTCTACTAATGATGAAGCTAGATAATGCGACAATCATGACAGGACAAATTTCATTTCAAATAAAAAAGAGTGACTTCAGTTAAGTTAAGAGATTGGAATGTACAGCCCATTAAATACACATTACGTTTTATTAGTTTTTTCTCCAGTGCAGCAAAGTTGATTATAGAATAAATCATAGCCATGTTCGTAAATATTAATCAACGCTAAATGTAATTTCACTTAAAACGACAGTCAGGAAAGGAATTCATTTAACTTAAATTAACATTTACCACGATCCATGGAATTATTTTCTCAAACTTCCGCATGAATTCGATTCTTACTTCCGGGATATGTTCCGTTTTCATGCTTATACATTATAAGCCTTGTTGTTTATCAAATATTTAACAAGGACAAATGATGCTTATAAGCTGTACGCTGTAAACACAAAACGGAACACACCATTCATCTCGCGGATGAAGTAGTGGAGATTAACAGTACGTTCTGACGTCTTTGCGATCCCCACTTACCTGGCCGTGGCTATCTTGGCGATGCTTATGGCTCGACGTCGATGTGGTCGACGTAGATGTATCGTGACGTTTTAGGGATGGTATTGAACTACCGCGGTTGTAGGATCCACGCGCATTCCCGCTGGATTTCCCTCTGCCGCTCGCTGTCTGACTCTTGTTGCTGCTGATGCTGTACGAGGAGCCTTGAGAGCCAACTTCCCAAGGGTCCGCTGACGCGTTACGGAGATGGAGGATCGATACATTAGGGCCCCTGCAACCAAAAATTTTCTCCTTTCGAGATCTTGAGGTACCAAGAAACTATTCTTAACTATTCTTAACTATATCATTTAAATATTTATTTTACAAATAAAAAGTTTATTTGTTTATATTAATAGTCGATTAATAATAGACTCGTGTTTGACGAATAAAATTGGAATTTTATACTTCTCAGATTTGGCAAAAAAGAACAAAAAGTTTATTTATGTATATATCGTTCCCTTATTTAAAAAATGACACAATTTAAATATTTTAAGTTTTACAGAAAAAATAAAAACTATTTTTCAATTCGATAGAAAATTATTGACTAATCAAATATATCAGCAAAAATAATATATTCTTAACTCTTAGTACACACATCGATGATTTTTCTTTTATTACACACATCGTTCGTGTCTTAGGTTAATTTTTATCATTTTAACAAATGTACTATAAAAGTTATTAAGTAATTCTTACATCTACTTTAATATCTTAAAAAGTATTTCTAAGATTGTGTATTTAAATAAATTATATATAAATGTTAATCATTTGACCTTTCTTTTTCAAAGAAAAGAAATGTGCAGGATACAAATAATCCAATTGTGGATTAATAAGAGTTCATTTTGTCATTTTCATTTCACAACTTTTAAAAATCATTCCTTTTTAATTGTGACAATTTTGATGATATTTTTCTAATCGCTCTTTTCAAATTGTGACGTTTTACAATAAAATAATAATATTCGAAGAGTAGAATTTGTTTAATTTTTTCATCTTATTCGATTTTAAAGGAAAGAAATTATATTTTTTATATAACATATTTGTTACTCTAAATGATTATATAATTTATTTGATTGATTCTAATTTATCGCATATCTGAATTTAACAAATTTTATAATATTACACAATCCCTCTTCTTCGTGCTTCACCATCGAAATTATACAAGATGAAAATATATAAAATTGCTTTTTTTTGCACGATTATGCCCGTTTGTTCATACATTTTTTATTTGTTATCGAACTCAGAATTTTGCTTCGTCTCGTCGTAAAAGGAAATCAACTCGTGATGCATTTTAACATCTCCGGGGATTTTACGCGACAGTTGGCACGGTCGGAAACCTTCCGTTTCCGTCGATGTCGATCTTCAAATAAGATAGATGCGATCGTTTTCAATTGTATATGTCCTCATGCACATTCCTTCTCACGTACATGTCTGATGTTACAACGACGAATATTTACATAGTGATATTGTACAAAGAATAAGCGATATATATGTATATATATGTGTATGTGTTTGTGTGCGTGTGTATGTGATTCTCTCTCTCTCTCTCTCTCTCTCTCTCTCTCTATATATATATATA